CACCAGCGAGCAAGGGGTAACAAAAAGGAAAGGAAGCAGTTTAATCACTTGACGAAAGCACCTGAAGAGTCAGGTTTACCTTGAGTTGTATGGCCTTGTTGTTCAAGGGGAAACACTGAAAATGGTCTTTGGTCTATCATAGTCCCCATCACTTGGCCCACACAGGCACTTACCCAGACTAGCTTCACTCACTGGCGCTGCCTCTAGGACCCAAAATGCTGGTGAGATTGAGACCCCTGCTTTGTTCAAAAGACACTGTGATAGGAAAAAGGCAGAAAACATAAAGCCCTACAGGAGCATTCAGGATAAGACACCAATTGTGTAGCATCTAAACTAAGTCTCCAGTAGGAGCCCACAAGATGAAGAAGAGAGGCGGGGAAGGGCAGCTCGGACAAGGGCACAGCGGGTGGTCTGGGGACCCGGGAAGGCTGCTGACATGTCTGGGGACTGTCAGTGGTTGGGCACGGCGGACATATGGTAGTGAGTAGAGAGACTGATGTTGGAAAGGTAGGTTCCAGAAGGTTCTGATGGGCCTGGTAGTCCGTCTCTAAGGGATTAGAACTTTCCTGTGTAGACCTGCAGACCTTGAGCAGACACTGGATTGGGAGAACTAGAAATAATTCCAGATTAACAGGATAGAAAACTCACTAAAGTTTGGAAAACTCACTAAAGTAGCCCGTAACAGGAGGGCCTGGAAGGGTGCGTGCCTGCATGCGTGGTCACTCAGTCCTGTCCAACGCTGCATCTCCATGAACCGTAGACGCCCAGGCTCCTCTGGCCGTGGGATTGCCCAGGCAAGAATACTGGAGTGCGTTGCCATTTCCTCTGCCAGGGGATCTTCCCCACCCAGGGACTGAACCGTATCTCCCGAGGCTCCTGCATTGGCAGGTGGCTTCTTTACCGCTGAGCCACCAGGGAAGTCCTAATAAATGAATGCATAGGTGGGGGAAGGGGTTTTCCAGACAGAACTTTTCCAGAAGCTCCGAAACAGCTCACTGCTGCTGACACATAAATGCTTCCTTGTCAATTGAATATCTGTAGCTCACACATTGCATCTTTGAAGTTAACAATTTCTTATTAGAAATGGATGCCTAAATATATCTACCAACAATCCAATGATTCCACTTCTAGATATTTATTTGCCCAAGAGAAATGGAAATTTAGGTCTACAAAAGATTTGCTCAGCGATGTTCACAGTCACCACTTTATTCACAATAACTGGGAAGGGCCCAAATGCCCATTAACAGGGAAGTGGAAAAACAGATTGCTGTACCTCCGTTCAACAGAATACTATTCAGCAGAAAAAAAGAACTGAAGGCTCAGCCTCAAAAGTGTTATGTTAGGTGAAGGGACCAGAACCCTCAAAAAGTATATAGGAATGAATGATTTTATGTAAATACACATATTATATTCTAGAAAAGAAAAGGATAATCAGTAGTGAAAGAAAGCAGATCAGTGGTTGCTTGGGGTCAGTAGCAATTGGGTGAAAAAGGGCAGAGGTTAACAGGGAAAGGTCAAGGCCTGTTAAAACTCATTAAGGTGTTTACATCTAAGATCTGTGCACCGATCTGTTACATGAATCATATTAAATATTTTTTCACCTTGCTGTACAGCAGAGATTGGCACAACACTGTAAATCAATGATCAGCTCAGTTGTGTCCGACTCTGCGACCCCATGGGCTGCAGCACGCCATGCCTCCCTGTCCATCACCGACTCCCGGAGCTTACTCAAACTCATGTCCATTGAGTTAGTTATACCATCCAATGATCTCATCCTCTGTTGTCCCCTTCTCCTCCCACCTTCAATCTTTCCCAGCATCAGGGTCTTTTCAAATGAGTTAGTTCTTCACATCAGATGGCCAAAGTATTGGAGTTTCAGCTTCAACATCAGTCCTTCCAGTGAATAATATTCAGGACTGATTTCCTTTAGGGTGGACTGGATGGATCTCCTTCCAGTCCAAGGGACTCTCAAGAGTCTTCGCCAACACCACGGTTCAAAAGCATCAATTCTTCACACCCTCTCCAGCATTTATTGCTTGTAGACTTTTGGATAGCAGCCATCCTGACTGGTGTGTAATGGTACCTCATTGTGGTTTTGATTTGCATTTCTCTGATAATGAGTGATGTTGAGCATCTTTTCATGTGTTTGTTAGCCATCTGTATGTCTTCCTTGGAGAAATGTCTGTTCAGTTCTTTGGCCCATTTTTTGATTGGGTCATTTATTTTTCTGGAGTTGAGCTGGAGGAGTTGCTTGTATATTTTTGAGATTAATCCTTTGTCTGTTGCTTCGTTTGCTATTATTTTCTCCCAATCTGAGGGCTGTCTTTTCACCTTGCTTATAGTTTCCTTTGTTGTGCAAAAGCTTTTAAGTTTCATTAGGTCCCATTTGTTTATTTTTGCTTTTATTTCTAAAATTCTGGGATGTGGGTCATAGAGGATCCTGCTGTGATTTATGTTGGAGAGTGTTTTGCCTATGTTCTCCTCTAGGAGTTTTATAGTTTCTGGTCTTACATTTAGATCTTTAATCCATCTTGAGTTTATTTTTGTGTATGGTGTTAGAAAGTGTTCTAGTTTCATTCTTTTACAGGTGGTTGACCAGTTTTCCCAGCACCACTTGTTAAAGAGGTTGTCTTTTTTCCATTGTATATCCTTGCCTCCTTTGTCAAAGATAAGGTGACCATAGGTTCGTGGATTTATCTCTGGGCTTTCTATTCTGTTCCATTGATCTATATTTCTGTCTTTGTGCCAGTACCATACTGTCTTGATGACTGTGGCTTTGTAGTATAGTCTGAAGTCAGGCAGATTGATTCCTCCAGTTCCATTCTTCTTTCTCAGGATTACTTTGGCTATTCGAGGTTTTTTGTATTTCCATACAAATTGTGAAATTATTTGTTCTAGTTCTGTGAAAAATACTGTTGGTAGTTTGATAGGGATTGCATTGAATCTGTAGATTGCTTTGGGTAGTATAGCCATTTTGACAATATTGATTCTTCCAATCCATGAACACGGTATATTTCTCCATCTGTTTGTGTCCTCTTTGATTTCTTTCATCAGTGTTTTATAGTTTTCTATGTATAGGTCTTTTGTTTCTTTAGGTAGATATACTCCTACAGCCACTATGGAAAACAGTGTGGAGATTTCTTAAAAAGCTGGAAATAGAACTGCCATATGACCCAGCAATCCCACTTCTGGGCATACACACCGAGGAAACCAGTTCTGAAAGAGACACGTGTACCCCAATGTTCATCGCAGCACTGTTTATAATAGCCAGGACATGGAAGCAACCTAGATGCCCATCAGCAGACGAATGGATGAGGAAGCTGTGGTACATATACACCATGGAATATTACTCAGCCATTAAAAAGAATTCATTTGAATCAGTTCTAATGAGATGGATGAAACTGGAGCCCATTATACAGAGCGAAGTAAGCCAGAAAGATAAAGACCATTACAGTATACTAACACATATATATGGAATTTAGAAAGATGGTAACGATAACCCTATGTGCAAAACAGAAAAAGAGACTCCTATGTATAGAACAGACTTGTGGACTCTGGGACAAGGCGAGGGTGGGATGTTTCAAGAGAACAGCATTGAAACACGTATATTATCTAGGGTGAAACAGTTCACCAGCCCAGGTTGGGTGCATGAGACAAGTGCTCGGGCCTGGTGCACTGGGAAGACCCAGAGGGATTGGGTGGAGAGGGAGGTGGGAGGGGGGACGGGGATGGGGAATACATGTAAAAAAAAAATAATAATAAATAAATAAATAAATAAAAAAGCATCAATTCTTTGGCGCTAAGCTTTCTTTATAGTCCAACTCTCACATCCATACATGATTACTGGAAAAACCATAGCTTTGACAAGACAGATCTTTGTTGGCAAAGTAATGTTTCTGCTTTTTAATACGCTGTCTAGGTTGGTCATAGTTTTCTTCCAAGGATCAAGTGTCTTTTAGTTTCAAGGCTGTAGTCACCATCTGCAGTGATTTTGGAGCCCCAAAAAATAAAGTCTGTCACTGTTTCCATTGTTTCCTATCTATTTGCCATGAAGGGATGAGACCAGATAGCATTATCTTAGTTTTCTGAATGTTGAGTTTTAAGCCAACTTTTTCACCCCCTCTTTCACTTTCAAAAGGCTTTTTAGTTCTTCTTTGCTTTCTGCCATAATGGTGGGGTCATCTGCATATTTGAGGGTATTAATATTTTTCCCAGCAATCTTGATTCCAGCTTGTGCTTCCTCCAGCCCAGCAGTTCTCATGATGTACTGTGCATATAAGTTAAATAAGTAGGGTGACAATATACAGCCTTGATGTATGCCTTTCCTCATTTGGAACCAGTCTGTTGTTCCATGTACAATTATAACTGTTGCTTCTTGACCTACATACAGATTTCTCAGGAGGCAGGTCAGGTGGTCTGGTATTCCCATCTCTTCCAGAATTTTTCAGTTTGTTGTGATCTACACAGGCAAAGGCTTTGGCAAAGTCAATAAAGCAGAAGTAGATGTTTTTCTGGAATTCTCTTGCTTTTTCTATGATCCAACGGATGTTGGCAATTTGATCTCTGGTTCCTCTGCCTTTTCTAAATCCACCTTGAACATCTGGAAGTTCATGGTTCACGTACTGTTGAAGTCTGGCTTGGAGAATTTTGAGCATTACTTTACTTCAGTTTTTAAAAAATAAACAAAAATGAATTTAAAGAACTTTAAGAGAGGGGAACAGGGACCCAGACAGGTAAGGAGACAAAGAACCGTTTGGCACTAACAGACGTGCGCAGACCTGGTAAAGAATCCCGCGGGGTGGGCGGGGACGCCGGGGGAGGGACCCCGAAGCGCTGCGGGAGCGGGCCGCCAGGAATGCAGTTACTCCTCTCGGACGCTAGGGGGCGGCGTGGGCCGGGGAAGGGCGCGCGCGGTGACCCGGGAAGTGGCGACGAGGGGGCGGGCCCGTGCGCGGGAGTCCATGTGGGCGCCGGCGCAGCCGGGAACCGCGCGGGTCGCCATGGCGGAGCTGCAGCAGCAACTCCGGGTGCAGGAGGCGGTGGACTCCATGGTGAAGAGTCTGGAGAGGGAGAATATCCGGAAGATGCAGGTAGCGGGGCGGGAGCAGACCCAGGTTGCGGGGGGCGGGGGGCGGGGAGCGAGTACGGTCCGGGATTTCCTGCCCCTTTCCGCAGCCGCACCACTGCCTCCCAGCCTGCAGACCCAGGTCGGGGTGTGCCTGGGGTCATCGCTGCGTCCTTGGAAGCACTGGTCACTCTTAGAACTGGAGCTTCGGCTGAGCCAATGAAATCTGTGCGCCCTCGCCACGCGCAAGGCCGTTTGCCCCCCAGGCCAGGCGGGGGAGGGGGTGTCCCCTCGCCAGGGTTGAGAAGCCCCGTGGAGTAAGGTGTTCAGCCTCCCCCACCTGCCCGTCTTGCGCGGCCGCTTCTCAGGTGAGCAGCCAAAGCCCGTCCAAAGAGCACCGCCAAGGTGAAGGACCGGAAAGGCGACAGCGCTCGGCCTCCTCAATGGCCTGGCGTGCTCGGCTCACGCAGCACTGCCTTACATGCTGTTCCGCTTTGATCCCCTGAAGGTTGTGCGGCTGTTGATCCCACTTCCCTAACCGCCTGGTGGGTTTCGCTTGTAAAGGTGCCCCTGGAGTCAGTGGACCAGTTGCCCCCTCGTGGATGGTTACTAGATCGCTGACCTCTGAACCCTGTGGTTTAGACACCTGGTTCTCAGAACTTGTCTCCATCTCATCCTCCGCCACCCTCCTTGTCCACCCAGCCTTCGGTTCAACAACTGTCAGTGAGCTAGGAGCAATGAAACATTGCTAGGTACCGAGGATAACGTTTCCGGTCGTGGGTTTAAGCTCTTGGTATCTGTTCTAAGGAGAGGTGCAGGTGTGACGCGCCTGCTAGCCTCTGCTGCACTCGGCGGTGGTCATCTCTGCCCGAAGGCTTTCCTGCCTCACCCGTCTCTGCCCTCCCCCCACAGGGCCTTATGTTCCGGTGCAGCGCTGCCTGTTGTGAGGAAAGCCAGGCGTCCATGCAGCAAGTGCACCAGTGCATTGAGCGCTGCCATGCACCTCTGGCTCAAGCCCAGGCCCTGGTGACCAGCGAGTTGGAGAAGTTCCAGGTGAGGAATACCCCAGCCAGACCACTCCAGCCCTAGGTGTTGCTCTTTTGCAGATGACAAGCGTTGGTTCAGAATTCTTGGCTTTAGTGTCTTGTTTCTGCGTTAACATCTGTGACAGTCCTATGTCCAGCTAGTCTTTACAGGGTTTCAAATTCTGGAAAAAGTCCTAGAGGTTGAGTGCTGTAAGAATTTCCCATAGAAACAATGCAAAAGGGAATTCATGACCAAGAGCCTTATGCTTTTTTTCCCCCATAGACATCAAATATACGTATACTGTACAGTATAAAGCTTTGTAAAGTATGTTAGTTCATTCTTACAATAGCAGAATCCCCAGGAAAGTGGAATAAGCCAGTCTTTAAAAGGTACAGATTAGAGCAAGATCCTACCATTGTTTTATGGGTTTTCCCACCCAGGGTGCCCCTACTTGCTGTATCCAGAGGGCATCTCCTGTGTCACCAAGGAGCAGTCCTTTACATGAAGCATTATTTTTGTTGACTCTCTGATGCCTGACTCGCAAGCCTCTCTGAGGTCACTTAGAGCCTCCTCTCCCCCCACCCTGCCCCATATTTCTCTCTGGAGAAGCAAAGGGTGTCCCCAGCTTCATTTTACTCCCTTCTCTGGGTGTACTTTCCTGAAACTTGGGTGAAAGAGGGCCCACTTCTGAATCATTATTTTATAGCCTGGAATTCTGTTCATGTGGACAAATTTATATCCAATGTGAAACATTTTTTTTTTTTTCCAATGTGAAACATTTTTATATTCTATATAAAATTCATCAAAATGACTGGCACTGTAAAAGGATAACTTCTCCAAGATCATGAAACTCCAAAGGGTTTCTTTGTGTTTGACACTTTATTTTACAGGTCTTTCAAAGTTTGCTTCTTGAATTACTGTACAGCTTTCTCTTCCATTCACTGTTCAGTCCTGTAATCAGACTTACTTATCCATCGCGCCAGGCCACTCCCCTCCTTGGGGCTGAATCCAATGGACATTTCTCATTCCTCATCTTACTCAGTCTACCTGCATCATTGACACAGTGGATCACTCTCCCCCTTCTTTAAAAATCTTTATTCATTTGGCCACCAGGATAGGATAGCTCACTCTCCTGGTCGTGTCGTTTCCCACCCCCCTCACCCCCAGCTCCTTTCTTGTTCTCATTTACTGTCTTTTTTACTCTCTCCAACCTCTGAAGAGGACTGGAGTGCCCAGGGTTATGCTTGGACCTCAATCTAGTTCTGTCGTCTCATAGCAAATATCTATATGCTGACAACTCCTGCATTCATATCTTTAGACCAGCTTCACTCCTTATCCAGATTCATATATCCAGCTGTTTCCCCGGCGTCTTCACTTATTTGTTTGTCCATCTCCCTCCACTAGAATATCAGTTCAGTGAAAGAAAGAGCTTTACCTGTTTCACTCATTGCTATATTCCCCAACAGTAGAGTCCCTAGCACATAGTAGAAGCTCAATAAATATTTGTTGAATTGAGTATTTTTCTGTAGCTGTGACAGATCTTATAAAATCAAGGTGTTTGAAAGTCTGTAGTTGAGTAACAGTAGCCTCTAGTTCCTTCTTACTTCCTGGAAGGGACTTCTTACAATTTATTCAGTCATTCAGCTGCTTTCTAGTAATGCTTTGTCTGGGCCCTCATGGTGCCACCCTCTGTTTTAATCAGGACAATCTTGGTCAGTTCCACTATAGTGTCCCTTTAATTGATCAAGATAATACATGTCAAGCCAAAACATGTAGTATAGACCATGGCACGTGATAAGCACTTGGCAGATGAAGGTCAGCCTTTCAGTTTTTCTACCCATTTCCTTCTTGCCACAGGACCGCCTGGCCCGGTGCACTATGTATTGCAATGACAAGGCCAAAGATTCGATCGATGCGGGGAGTAAGGAGCTTCACGTGAAGCGGCAGCTGGAGACCTGCGTGACCAAGTGTGTGGATGACCACATGAACCTCATCCCAGCCATGACCAGGAAGATGAAGGAGTCGCTCTCATCCATGGGGAAATAGCTGTCTGCTAGTGGCCATCAGGGCTGAGGGCAGGAATCGATTTAAAAGGAGAAATGGGGGTTTGGGTCTTTTAAGGAGAGTTAAGGAATGAGGAAATTAAGGATGGCAGCAAGTCTAAGGCCTGTGTTTCTTTCCTCTGGACGCTGGTTCCTTTGTGTTTCAATCCTAGAAAGTGAAATGGGAAAAAAACGGTGCTAAAATTTGGGTCACAGATAGCACAGGAGGTTTGTTGTGAGCCTGAATTTCATGTGGCAAGTACTTCTGCCAATAGGGAGTCTCCCTTGTCCCAAACCAGGGCCCTCCGAAGTACCAGATTCTCTTACTGCACAGATACCAAGAGGCCGGCAGGTTCATGTAACCTGCTTGTGGTCTAGTGGAGTATGGAAAGAGGTGTTTCTATTTGTTGCTCACCTGCTGTTTACCAGAAGGATCACTACAATATTTTCCACAAACTAATAAAATCCATGCAGTCACTAATGTCGAAAGGGGCAGGGGGCTTTAGGGGGTTTGTTTTGCTTGTTTTTCTTTTATAGACAAGGGCATGATGTTAAGATGTAAAGTTGGGAGAAGCAGTTTGGATAAAAACTTTGAAAGGGTCCCTGCAGGTACTCATTTCTCCATCAAGATGTGGATGTGTGTTTCTTAAAATTCTCACACATTACATCATTCAGCCTGGAGACCCTGCAAAAATGTAAGAAGGGATATCACACTGGTAAGGGAAGCAAGTGTTCCCTGTCACTGGCAGCCATGGTGGGCCCTGAGGCCACCGGCAGCAGAGTCAGCCAAGCGACAAGACAATCTTACAGTGACACTCGGCCTTGAAGGGAAACGGGATTTTGACAGTATTATATGCTCATATTCAGGAACAAACAGTGAAAGAGGAACTATTAGCTACTTAAATAAGAGGGTTGTGATGTACAGGCTTTGGAAAAATCTGTTTTTCACGAAACAAAATGAAAGCCTAAACCCAGTGTTGCTTACTTTGCCCCCTGAAATAACAGAGCTTTGTTGAGACAATCCCCTGGCAACAAAAAAGTCAAGGGAGGAAACGTAAGCAACTCAGGGGTGAACTGTGGCTCCTTTAGAGCGATAAAGGGACTGCCCTCCATTACCAAATACCACTTTTGCCAGGGCCTTTGCTACATGTATTGTTCTTGCCCCAGTTCTTGCCCCTTATCATTTTGATAAGGACCTTGTTTTTTTTTTTTTACCAACTTAGTACTTGAAATGATAATATTGTCTGTTTGCTGTTTCAAGACTGTGATATATTTTCCTAGTGGTTTGGTTTTCAAAATAAATAAGACTTAATTTTCTTCCACTATTGTGTTTTTTTCCTTATATCTGGACAGTGAATATACAACTTTGTCAGGATACTTCTCTTTGTAATGTGTGAAATAAATTTAAGATGTCCCAAGGAGTGAAAAATATGTTATAGTCCGGGTGCTTGTAGATGAGAACTTTGAGGACATACTAGAACACTGCGAATGTAAGTCTGTTAATGTAAAAAGACAAACTGGAACGCTGAAAAATTCAATATGCACATCAGGTCTCTCGCTTCCACCGTGGAACTAGGCAGGTGGCCCTGCACGTCCCACACCCCTCGGTCTGTTGTCTGTGTTTACCTTATTCTCATTCAGAGGCTGTTACTCTATCCAAGAGCTCACATATCCTACCGTTCAAAAGACAAGGTTACACCTCAGGAGAAAAGCTGGCTGTTCTCACGGCTCCTTGCAGGAGGTCTCTGGCCTCCAAGGTTCATCCTTTCCATTTCCTCTGCCTGAAGAGCCCTCTGGCCACGCCCAGCATATGTAACTTCTACCCATTAGAGGCAGGCAGGGTAAGTGCTCTCCAAAGATGTGCTCACCCTAATCCCTGGATCCTGTAAATACACTGCCTTGCAAGGCACAAAGGACTTTGCAGATGTTAACTAGGTTACAGACCTAAAATGGGTTGATTAGCCTGGATTTCTTTGAGCCCATTTTTTGGGGGGAGGAGGGGGCAAGAATACTGGAGTGGTTGCCATTCCCTTCTCCAGGAGATCTTCCCAACCCAGGGATTGAACCCGGGTCTCCCAGATTGTAGGCAGACGCTTTACCATCTGAGCCACCAGGGAAGTGAAAAAGTTGGCTTAAAGCTCAACATTCAGAAAACTAAGATCATGGCATCTGGTCCCATCACCTCATGGGAAATAGATGGGGAAACAGTGGAAACAGAAACAGTGACTTTGTTTTTTTGGGCTCCAAAAGCACTGCAGATGGTGACTGCAGCCATGAAATTAAAAGACGCTTACTTCTTGGAAGGAAAATTAAGACCAACATAGATAGCATATTAAAAAGCAGAGACATTACTTTGCCAACAAAGTTCCGTCTAGTCAAGGCTATGGTTTTTCCAGTGGTCATATATGGATATGAGTGTTGGACTGTGAAGAAAGCTGAGCGCCAAAGAATTGATGCTTTTGAACCGTGGTGTTGGAGAAAACTCTTGAGAGTCCCTTGGACTGGAAGGAGATCCAACCAGTCCGTCCTAAAGGAGATCAGTCCTGGGTGTTCATTGGAAGGACTGAGGCTGAAGCTGAAACTCCAGTACTTTGGCCACCTCATGCAAAGAGTTGACTCATTTGAAAAGACCCTGATGCTGAGAGGGATTGGGGGCAGGAGGAGAAGGGGGCAACAGAGGATGAGATGGCTGGATGGCATCATCGACTCGATGGACATGAGCTTGAGTGGATTCCGAGAGCTGGTGATGGGCAGGGAGGCCTGGCGTGCTATGATTCATGGGGTCACAAAGAGTCGGACACGCCTGAGCAACTGAACTGAACTGAACTGAGCCTGGATTACCTAAGTCGGCCTGAGCTAATCAATTTCCCTATCTGAGGTCAGAAGAGATGAGGTAGAAGTTAGTTTCAAAGCATGAGAGGATTCAACCCCCACGCTGGGGGGTGGATATGGGGCACATGGAAAGTGTGAGGAGGGATGGGAGTGGCTGCTAGGAGCAAACACAGACCCCCAGCTGACAGCCGACAAGGAATCAGAACCTCAGTCCTACCACAACAAGGAACTGAATCCATCTGACGACTTGAATGAACTTGGAAGCAGATGCATCTAAAGAGCCTCCAGAAAGGAACACAGCCCTGCCAACACCTTAATTGTGACCCTGTGCAACTAAGCGAATGACCCTGCAGCGCCACACATAGCTGACCTACAGAACTGTGTGACGAGAACTCTTGGCAACTCCAATATGTGGTACAGTATGATTAACTATTGTCACCACGCTGTACATTACCAAATGTAGTTTTAATGCACTAAATTTGTGGTAATTTGTTATGGAAGCAATAGGAAACATACCATCCTTTAGCACCATCATTCAGTACAAATACCACTTTCATGAAGCCTTCTCTGGTTTCTCCATCTATAGGCGTGTCCCCTGTTAAGTCTCAGAGCGTTCTGCCCCCAAGCCTCTTCAGCCATTGCCATGGTCCACCTGGGTCATATAATTCCGGTTATTGACATACGTCATATTTCTCCTACTAGATGATGTGATACTCAGGGCAGTCACTTCAGTCCTGTCCGACTCCTTGTGACTCTGTGGACTACCTCGCCAGGTTCTTCTGCCCATGGGATTCTCCAGGCAAGAATACTGGAGTGGGCTGCCATGCCTTCCTCCAGGGGATCTTCCCAACCCAGAGATCGAACCCACATCTGTTACATCTCCTGCATTGGCAGGTGGGTTCTTTACCACCAGTGCCACCTGGGAAGCCCACTCAGGGCAGCATCTGAGAGTTATTCATCTTTTATTTTCCTTCTAGGGAGTAGCACATATCTCATATGTAGACTGCTAAATTTTTCTTGGAAAGGATGTTTCACAACTTGTATGGCTGGTTATTGTTTAATAAGATGAATTGCTGTGACAATGAAGAATTGAAAAATGGACCTAGAAATATTTGTGACTATAGAAAGGAAGAGCTGATGGATGATGGACACTGACAGCATAAGAAAATGAGAAGGGACGACAGGTAGACGAATCTGGGGAAGGGGACGACAGAGGAGGAGATGGATGGACGGCACCACCAACTCAATGGACATGAGTTTGAGTAAACTCCGGGAGTTGGTGATGGACAGGGAGGCCTGGCGTGCTGCATTCCATGGGGTCGCAGAGTCGGACACAACTGAGTGACTGAACTGAACTGAATCAGCATGAACAAGCAGAAAGTTACATCACTGATGAAGGGACAAGATAAAGCCTCAGGAAAACACCTAAATGAAGTGGAGATAGGCAAACTTTTAGAGAAAGAATTCAGCATACTGATATGTGAAGATGGTTCAGGATCTTGGAAAAAGAGTGGAGGCAAAGATTGAGAAAATGCAAGAAATGTTTACCAAAGACCTAGAAGAACTAAAGAACAGAGATACACTAGAAGGAATCAATAACAGAATAACTGAGGCAGAAGAACGGATAAATGACCTGGAGAACAGAATGGTGGAAATCACTGCCACAGAACAGAATATAGAAGAAAAAGGAAAAGAAATGAAGTCAACCTAAGAGACCTCTGGGACAACATTAAATGCATCAACATTTGCATTATAGGGGTCCCAGAAGGGGAGAGAAAGGACCTGAGAAAACATTTAAAGAGATAATAGCTGTAAACTTCCCTAACTGGGAAAGGAAATAGTCAACCAAGTCCAGGAAGCACAGAGTTCCAGGCAGGATAAACCCAGGGAGGAACACACTGAAACCCGTAGTAATTAAACTGACAAACATTAAAGGCAGAAATAAAATATTAAAAGCAACAAGGGAAAAATGACAATATACAAGGGAACTCCCATCAGGCTATCAGCTGATTTCTCAACAGAAACTCTACAAGCCAGAGGGAATGGCATGATATATTTAAAGTGATGAAAGGGAAGAATCTACAACCAAGAATACTCTACCCAGCAAGACTCTCCTTCAGATTTGATGGAGAAATCAAAAACTTTCCAGATCAGCTAAAGTTAACAGAATTC